AAAAGCCATATACGACTATGATTCAAAGATAAGTTTACAACAGTTATCGTGTCATTCGCACTTTCAAATGACCGGATGGCTCCATAACTTTGTAGAGACACTGATGCATGCCCACCTATCTCTTCCCTCCTCCCATCTTTGCCCTGCCAGATACCTGGGAGACGGCCTCCTTTGCCTCCCTGTTACACCCCTCACAATGCCTTGTTTGCATTCCGGAGATCTGCAGAATTCAGAATTATAGGCTGTTCTTACTGGGCCATATGGAGTAGCTGTTTGCAAACCGACCTTGGCAAAGCAACATTTCCCTCATCTTCTGCCTTTTTGCATAGTTTGTTTAACTCAAAACAGGACAAAGGGCCACAGTTTGTGTTTTACAGTTTCCGTATTTCCTCATTAAAAAAAGTTTTAAAAGGAAGGGGGAGAAACAAAGAGCACTGAGATGGAGAACAGACAATGAAAGGTTAAATGTTATAAAAGGGCAATGCAGAGGGTGGGGGAAGGGAGGCTTTGCCTTCCAGTCAGGTTTCTAACAAGGCAAAGCAGTTTCTTCTGCATTGTAAATGCAGAAAGCAGATATTTTAGAGATCCAAATAATGAATCCAGGACTCCTACTATAATCAAAAGATATAACAGAACCTAAAAGTAGCAAGTTAACAATATAACCAAAGTATTTTCTTTGAAAACTCTAATTAAGATGGACCAGAGATTACAACTATGCTTCAAGTATTTTGGCACATCTGGATTCATGTTTTCATTTTTTATCCAATTTTAAATAAATATATCTGTATCAAGATAGTTCTCTTTCAAAGAGAGAGAGAGAGAGAGAGAGAGAGACAGACAGACAGACAGACAGACAGACAGACAGACAGACATCAAGGTATACCTATGTGGAGAGTATTAGGTTTGGGTAATTCAAGGAAAAGCTCCAAACCCAGTTTGTATATATAAAATGACTGCTGCAATGAATACCGAAGCATACAAGTGAACATTTTAACAGAAATAAAACTCAAGTTTCCTTAAAAGTGGTGATGCAGGTTTTCATAAGAAAACAAGAGATCAGCTGGATCAGAACACAGGCACATCTAGACTAGTAACACGTCATAAAGTGGTCAAATATGAATATTTGAAAAGTTCACTAGCTTGGACGAAGGTGAGTGGAGGATAGGTCCTTCCATAGTTGCTTCCCAGTAGTCCACTAAGAAAACAGGAAACAGCCATCTGATTTACTGGCCACTTAAAACATAATCTTGCTGTTATGCTCCATAGCACTTTCTGGAGGCCCCATTAACCCACTTCGTTCTCCATAAGACAAGCCTGTGGCCTTTGCGTGATCTGTTCCATCTGCCTACAATATCCTCTGCATATACCTGCAGTACCCACGTACTTCCCTCCGCTCCTTGTCCTGCCTCTTCCTACTTAATGATCTTGGGGTTATGATAGTAGCAGGACTGCTGTCGATAAATGTTGAGGCCATATGACATTGTGCTTTTTGACCTTAGCACGGGGAAACCAGTCCTAATTGCCATTGTAACCTGCGGGCTACCTGTACCATCTGTGGCAACAAATTCCACAATGTGCTATATTTAAAAGTATCAGGCTTGAATTTTCCTGCATTTGTTACAATGGATGACCTTGTATTCTAACACTTTGTATGAGAGAAAACCTTCTCTCCTGCCCTATTTTTCTAACTCTATCTTACACTTACACTCATAGAACCGTTTTTCATTTTATTTAATTTTCAAATTTATATGGCTGTCCATCTCACCAAACAAGTGACTGAACTGTGTACTTTATAACAATATAGCCAGAGTGTGGCTCTCAAGCAGCCCCTTATCAAAAATGCCTCAAGTTTATAACCACTGAAATCCAACATGCCGATTGTCAGGTTTCAATTATACAATTTTTTATTTCTTTAAAAACATACATATGGCAAGAAGGAGGAAGCAAGAAAGCATGGGATGCATGTGAGAGAAAGAAAACCATGTGGTGCAGGACAGATAATCACCGGAGGGAAAAATTGGTCAAACAAAAATTAAGAATATGTATTACCATAGGATACAACCAAATAGATGGTCAAAAATGGCAACATTCACATTTTAAGAAGAGAGTTGTATGGTTTGTATGAGAATACTGCACAATTTTTAAACAAAATAAATAAGTATTACTTGTCTTTTTCTGCCTCCATTCTAAGGGATACTTAGGGTACTAATTGACAGTCCAACTGATTGCCATTATCTGAATGACGCATAGTACTTTGACCATTGTACTGAGTGAAATTTTCCAAAAGAAATCTATTATTTATTAAATGGCAAGAGCACTTTACTACTTTAAACCATAAGCTTTTTGTATGCAATTTTTTTGGTTACAGTATTCTTGTTACACAGGTTAAAAAGTGAAGCTCTTCTGGATTTTCACCTAAATTATTTATAGCCCGAAGATTTAGACAAGATTGTTGACTTTAAGATGTTGATAACTTGAATCAGTAATAGTTTAATTTCTAAAATATTTTTTTGACAATATCTTACAAAAATTATAAACTGTAAGTCATTTGAGTAGACCATTTTTTAAAAATATGGCTGGTGGAATTTGCCAACATTTCAAAACTACTCCCAGTTAAATCTTCTTCCATCCTCTCTAACCTCAAATGACACCAACACTTAGTAAGTCTTGTAATTTTTTTCTGTTAAGTCTTTTTTATATTCTATATTTTATATTCTCTTATGTGGATTGGATTACTTTTTAAAGCTGTCTAAATAGATGTCCTAAGCTATATAAACTAATTGCATGCCATTGAGTCTATGGTGAATCTTGTCTACATATTTTTAACTTCTACAATTACTTCTTAAAAATATAGTTACTGGAATTGCACAGGTTTTTTTTATATCCTGTGACTGATATTTTTTCTTGAACCATCCATTATAACTCCAAGGTCCTATTTTCCTGGTCAAGACATTTTTGTCCTACACAAAACATGTTATGAATCATGTAAGACTTTAAAAATTCTATTTATAAAATATTAAATTATTTTTCATGTCAATATTATTATTTTAAAATATAACTATCCATAAATAACACCATAGTATAGTTTGTAAAAATTATATGGGATCATACAGGATTATATGAAGGATCAGATAAGACTAGTTTTATGGGTACATTTTCATATATGTAAAGACAGGTAGATTCTGCTTTTAAATCTTGCAAAGAATGGTCAGCTTTAATACTTTGAAGAGTGATGTTAATTGATCTTATTAAGTTAATTTTTCATATGCTTTGTACAGTCTTCATACATATAACCTAGTTAAAGAATGAACAATTACAGTGCAGTATTTTCAAGTTAAAGACAAAACATGTCTTCTTTTATATGAAAATTGATTGCCAGTCATGAAGAATTACCATTATAATTAACAGTGTCAGGACATGTAATCTATTTTGGAATTTTGATGGGGAACATCAGATTTCATCTCAATTCTGGCAAGATGGAATAGTTTTTGGACCACCTGGATCTGGAAATATACTTTCTGTAATTCTGGATACTGTGCCACTGCCTCAGACAGACCCTATTATCTGATGAAGGTGTTGAAGGGCTTCTGGAATGTCAAAAGGGATAGAACTAATCTAATTTTATGGGAAATGAATGTTCCATAAGGTGGGCACTATGGCAGAGAAAGCACATCTCTTAGGACCCCCCCAAATATAGATCCATTGTTGATGGTACCTGCAAGCATGCCTTCTCTGCCCTATTGCTCAAATTAATAACACGCTTCTCTGAAAATAAGACCTGGTCTTATTTTCTTTTGGGTCCCCAAATAAGCAGTAGAGCTTATTTTCAGGGAAACATGATTTCAGGATGATCAGCTCATCTGGGCACCCCGTCTCCCAGCTTACACACAAGAGCTAGCAAGCAGCTACAGCCCAGCGGTCTCTTAGTTGGCGCACTCTGGAGCTGCACACAATGGAAGGCACAGAGTGGAAGGCAGGCAGTCCCGGTGCATTATGCAGACTGTAGACAAGCCAAGACAAGTGAAGATGAGTTTCCTGTGGCTGGCCACCGCTCCGGCCCACCGCCACTTGGCTTTCCCGCAGCCTGCATGGCATATCTGGGTCACCTCCCTCCCCCCAGATCTCTGCTTCTATCTGCTGTTTCCACAGGTACTCAACTCACCTGTGCTGCGTGGGCTGAAGCTGCTGCCAGACACCATCAACCTATGTGTGCTCGCCGCCTCCTATGCTGGCCATGCCCACCTCCCCCTTCACTTTTGAGGGAGGGCTTGTATTAGGCACATGCATAAAATAGGATATGGCTTATTTTGGGGGTAGGTCATATTATCAGGGAAACACAGTAAGTTGAAAATTATAGATTCCAATTCAAATTGTTTGGAAAAGCTCTTGTTTATTTAAGCAGAATAATCTGGATGTCAACATAGGGAAGGATAACTGGAAGAGCAGTAATTGTCACTGGAATCTTCTATGAATGTCACCCCTTGGCTGTGATTTTTTTTTTTCTGAACAGAACCTGGGCTGTCGCAGTATCTTATATCTCTCCATATTTAGAATTTTCTATTAATCCCTGCTTTAAAATCAAGCTTAAGTCCTTTAATCATTTAAGTGATTAAATGAACATGTCAATGTTGCTTTGTTGGCAATCATTTATAACTGACATTCTTATATTATTCTTTTTTTCAACTTCCTAATCTAACCAAGAGGCTTCTCTGGCTTGCCAGTACTTTCCCCCACCAATATGAGTAAAGAATTATTAAGCAGTATTGTGGAACCTTCAATTGTGTTCACATTCCTCATGACCTGAATAGTTTTAATACTATCAATGTTTGTGCAAACTAACATTCTTACAAAATAACTTGAGTTAAATATACATCCTACAAAAATGGAATAATGGGAAACATTATCCCAATGCCTTGAATTAATATCAATTTACAAGACATTGAGATGCAATTCACCATTTTCAGAGCACTATAAACTTACTCAAAATGAACATGCAATACCTGTACTAGCCAGATGCCATCTTTTGTATCTTCTACCAACTCATAAAAATGCATTTCACCACTGAAGTTTGTACTGGAAACAGACTCAGAGGCTTCCTCTTCCTTGAGAGCAGAATAAAGTTCACCTTCCATAAGGTCTCCTGAAAAATGAAACAAAAAGAAATACCAGTTACAGTAAATCTAATGGTCATATTAATCAAAAGGACAATGTCATAAAAAGTAAATCAAGATTATAAATTATATTTTAAAAGAACTGGGGAAAAACTATACACACATATTTGTACATATCTTATTTGGAATTATAGTGGAACTAATGACCTGCAGATATCTGATGACTCTTAATTATTTTATTACTCTGTAAAATTAATGTCTTCCAACATAAGTCAAGGCAGTAAGATTCAGGTTGGGAGAGGGGCTTACACATGTCTTTGTCCCTAATCTGGATAGATCAAATTTATTGATTTAATAAATTTATATAATTGTCCATAGGGGTTTGTACTAGCACACTGTACTTCAAAACATCTGGTTAGTTAATCTGATTTAGACATGAAATTGGAGTCATTTTACTTAAAAAATTAATCCCCGGGATAGGGATAGTTCTGTTTCATTCATTCAGATGAAGAGAGCATACCCATATTTAAGAACAGGTGGTCTTAACATATCTATCTATTCCAGATAGAACCTACCGCACCCACCCACCCCTGAAGCAATTACTAAATACCTTGAAACTTAGGTGGAAAGGATGGGAAGGGATTGAGCAAATTATGGGTTTGTGAGAAACACCTGAAGGAAAAAAGAAATAATGAAAAAGCTTGGCCTAACAAAATGGCTTAGAGATGCTTCAATGTTTACCCAAATGCTTGAAGCTATAAAAACTCAAGCAGCTTACTAACTGCAAACTCCAGGATCAAGTATTACTGGAAGGAAGTACTGGCTCCCTCTATAGTGCTGGCTAGGCATCAAGCTTGCTGACAAAATAAACTAAAGACTAAAATTATGGGTTTGGGTGAGCCTCTTGCTAAGAAATACTATCTTTTTCCTGTAAACAAGATCACTAAATAAACGTTGCCTCATCCTTCTCTTAGTGGGCAGAACTTTGTATTATTTCCCAACTACAGCTGAAAAAACTTGGCTCAAGAAGATTGTGTGTCTCCACTGGTCAATTGGGTTGAGGGATACTCCCCATGACACCTTGCTATACAATAAAGAAATTCTAGTGAATTAGTACCTGTCACGATGTAATATGTTGTCTCTTTTTATGTTATCTAGATGATAATTACTTCATACATACAATAATTTATATTATTATTATTATAGAATTTTAGTAAAGAAAAATCCAAAACTTTATGGGCAGTAAGGTTAAAATCAATGTTCCAGAAAATATTAATCAATGTTTAGCTCTTCACAGAATGAGAGACCAATTTTCCAGAATATCACCTTTAATAAATACATGGTTTAGTTCTTCCTATCCTGTGCGCTTTTCTTTGATTTTTTCCTCGCTGAGCAATGCTGAGTTCCCCACATACTGGAAATGAAATAGGACATGGTCTGGAGGCAGAGATTTATGTGGCGAAGCCCACTATTAAAGAATCTTTTCCCAAAGACTGGCACCACTCCATATAATTGCTGCCTATATTTTTACAGTATTGCATTTTAAAAGTGTTATTGTATTATGATTCTTGATTCTATTCCATTGTAAATTGTACCAAGTTGTTTAAATTTGGCAATATGTAAACTAAATAAATAAATCAACCTTCATTTTGTTTTCCATGAAATAACCCCAAATCTTACAGGGTAGCATGGCATAGTAGCAAAATATGAGAGTTCCACATTCAAATGTCAATCTAGACATGAATTTTGTGGGTGGCTTAAACTACCTTCTTTTGGCCTTAATCCCATCCATCTCTAATACAGTATAAAATTAATTTAAATGAAAATATTTTACTGTTGTCTATTAATTTGATTTCAACTTACAGAGATTCAAAATATTTACATATAACAAAAATGTTAAAGCAAGTATGCCAGGGAAACACTTAAAACACAAATGCTGTAGCGGGTTTTTAAAGCCTTCCTAAACCTAAAGGACAGCACCAAATGACATAGATGAAGTGCATTAGGCCACAGAACATGTGAATATAAATATTAAACTTCAAGTAAGAAAAAGTAAGAAAAAGCCTCACAGCAGCTCTTTGCTCGTTAAGAAGATAGTTATGCCTTGTCATTCCACTATTTGTTAAATGAACAAATATGTAGTGAACGTGTCAGTTACATGATCACTTGAGCCTATGAGTTTTTCCAGATAGAGGGCTTTTAATTTCATCTATCACAATGCATTATGTAGCTATTCCATCTTTCTCTTGGCAAGAAGTTTATTAATAGAGGACAGCATCTGGAGAAATGGTTCCCAGTTTATAGTCTATGGACTACTGGTGATTCATGAGAGTACTGTAGATGGTCCATGGCTTGGCAGCACAAGTAATGTAATATCATCTCTACTGGGAGGCCCCTACAACAATAAATGTATTGTGATGAGTACAATGCATTTATGAGTGAGCAGATTATAAATGCAATTTCAACTACTTTAGATAAATTTTAAAGGCACATTAAACTCCTATTAGATAGGCTGTATTAAAGGTTTTTGCTTACTTGATGACCTGCAAAAAGCTTTAGATGATGATGGTGATGGGAACAGGTTGTGAATTACATACCTTGATCCTTTTTAATTATTTAGAAAAAATTAAAATTAAATAAGGCATGATAATTTTATAGTAAAGCTCTCATCTAGAAGTAATATATATATATATCCTTTCAATGTGTGCAAAGTAATAAAACTGTTAAAACAAGTCCAAGAATTTTAACATTCTGCATCATTGAATCATTCTCTAAAATCTGATCTGCATTTCTGTTTCACCATGTGAAAAATCCTATATTAGCTTGAACTTTATATTGATAGAAGAGAGGAAATAAAACAATCTACATTGCAAATATTATAGAGCAAGAAAACAGTAAACTGAGCTTTAACAGTATGTATTATTTCATGAATATGAGTCCTTACAAACATACTTTCCTTCCTCATTTAAATATAAATTGAGGAATTATCCAATAAATATTAAATACTAGGTAAATTATCCACAAAGGCAGTTAATTATAGCAAATATGTTTTCTGTAATAATTACATCAGCAGCTCACCTTCTAAAACTGCCACCTGAATATTTTAGAAAAGAGGAAATCTCCCATATGTATCTCAAAAATATTCAAAGGAAAGCATTAGATTTAAGGCTATTCTGATGTCAGGGAAGAGTTATACTTTCCTTTTGTGTAATTAAAAGGTAATGCAACATGCTTGCATTTTCTACAATTTAAGGCTTTTAACCTTCTTTATAATAGTAAATAAAATAATAACAAAGGACACCGGAAATCAAAAGTTTACTCTGTGAACAAAAGTGTTCCAAATTCTATCCACTTGTATCAGTCCTCCTGCCTCTCTCAGTTACTCAGCATTCTGCAGCCTCTGATAATTAGATAGTTTTGGGATTTTCTATTGTGATTTCGCCCCCCCCCCCCCAATGCTTTGTGGAATTTTGTTCTTCTAATAACTTCTTCATCTGGGTATATACTCAGCAATCATACCCACAGTCTTAACATCAGAAATAGGGGTGTTGTAATTAAGAATTACTGTATTATGCAATAGGGAATTCTCTGATTTGGGATACTTCCTTTAATTCTTCTTTCCTGCGGCTTTTCACCCCTTCTTACTATTTAATATTTATGTGACATCTATTTCAGTGCTTTTAAAAATACATTTTTCTACTTATACAGACCTTGAAATTTCCCAAAGCCTAGCAAAAACTTTCTATTGTAGACAGTATTTACAGAGGCTTGAATTCACTATTATTATACATGGCTATAAATTTCATTGCATAACATATATTAAAGACAGAACTAAGTATACCATACAAAATTATTCCGCCCAGTATATCTATTCTAGGCTATTCTAGGCTATTTTTAAGTTTAGATAAAACTGGAATATGAATGGCAATAGTCAAAAAATGTATAAAAATTGTTAAATTGTCTTATTGCAATAAATGGTTCATTTTATTTTTGCAACATGGCAAAGTCCAGACTACATAAAATTATTAAACTAGGATCTAAACTAAATTATGCTTATTAGATTAGAATAATATCTGCAAGATAACTTTAATTTTTTATAAATCATTTCAAAAATGTTATATAATTTGTGAAGTGTAATAAAAAATCTTGATTGAAATATCTGATCTGGCCTATTTCATTATTTTTATATTCATTCATAAATCATATTTATAAGACCATCTGACTCCAGATGAATCTGGGTACAATCAACAAACACAACTAAATATAAAGGCTATTAGTCTGGAAACATAATGATTAACATGGAACAATCCATTCCTAACTTTACATATACAGAATTATCGAGATCTTCCTTGAACCATTTATTTGTTTAAAGGCCAATCTTACCTTTAACTGGACATGAGTCATCTACTAATCTTACTTGTATATAACAAAATATATGCATATTATGGCAATATAAGAATATCTGGTCTACTTGTATCGGCTTTCAAATATTAATGTTAATTCTCTCTCTAGGATATCATTTTTACATCTAAAAGTTATTTAAATTATTTATTTTTGGTTACTGTCCTAACCAATACCTTAACAATTCCAACAAAGGTGCTTTAATTTTCAAATTATAAACATGATTCAATTTCCACATTTCTCTATAAACTTTGATCAGTTTCTTATACAGCTCAGTGCATTAATTTTAGCATTGCTTTTCATTTTCAAACAGATACATTACTATCATGCTGCATTCAAAAGTCCCACTAAATTCAACAAATCTTATTTTAAAGTAAATGTGTTATGAGTTGCAGCCCAACTCTTTGCTAATCTTAGAGTGTCTATATAGTAGGTTAATTCTCTCCAAAGGATTCTGTCTTTGCATGTTCAGAGATCAAAATGGAGAGAATGGTGGCAAGGCACTATTTTACAGAGGAACACATACAGCAAGGTAGTAGGGAACCAAAGGAATAAAGATGAATTAGGTTTTCTTTCTTCTTAATTCCTCTTTCAAAGAAGCATAACTACAGTCTTAATAGGAACTCTTGAGTATTGCTTATAAATTAGAAGCCACTAAAGTCAACTTCAACCTAGAATTGATCCAGGATGACCTAATTTTATATCACAAAAATCTGGATGAACAAAGGAAATAGACTTTGTATACCAAATATGATGTGCTATAATCTATTGGTACTTTATTTCATTTTCAATGGTTCTTAGATTTGAAGTTATGTATCAGATCAATGACTCTTGAAATAACAGAATATACATGATAATAACACAATATTTAGTTTGTAGTCAATGTCAGCGGTCGCCAACTGGTGGGCTGCTGAGAAAATTTTGGTGGGCCACAGAGAAATCTCACCCCCAGAGCACCCCACCAAAGCAATTAATCCAGGCTGCACAGAAACACAAGGGTGCTCAGCCCACATGGCTCAGGAACCCTTCCTGCCCACTCACTCCTTACCTGGCAAACTTGTCTGCTAAGTTGCTATTTTTCCTTTTTCCGACCATCAACTGTTCTGCTGTGCTGTGAGATTTAGATTAGCTAGGAAGCAGGAAATAGTTGGATTTCTTGCTTTCTAGCTAAGCACAGCCGAACCTCCCTTAGGACTGAAGGTTTGCTTGTAAACAAATTCAGTGCAGACTCGTAAGCAAATTTGAGAGACTGAGCTAGCCGATGGCAGATAGATAGATCACTCAATGATTCTGTGAGCAACTCAATCTGCCTGCTTTGCCTGATTTTGGATAAAAGTTGCCTTTTTAAATAAAAAAATCAATATTTACATACATGGTGTGTTGTGAGTTAATTTTGTGAGTTTGCTTGCAAGCAAATTTTATGTGACAGACTGACCTATCCAATGGCAGATAGATAGATCTCTGAATGAAACTGTGATTCTGTGAGCAACTCAATCTGCCTGCCTGCTTTGCCTGATTTGGGGTAAAAGTTGCTCTTTTTCATAAAAGGAATCAATATTTATATAAATATTTATAATATTTACAGACAAGCCATGCCCAGCCAGTCACATGACCACCAAGCCACACCCACAAATTAGGACATGCCCACAAAACCAGTTACTGGTCCCTGGGATCTAAAATTATGAGTTTGGTTGTCTCTGAGGTCCAAAAGGTTGGTGATCCCTGGTCTATGTAAATTTTCTTGCTGATTTGGGGCCTGGTTCCAAAATGCTATTGTCCTAGAAAGGAGTCACTATCTGTGCCAAATTGTTTTTATGTTTTCATGACAACCATCAAAGGCTAATGATATCTAGACTTTCACATTGCATAGTGAGGATTTTGTGCTGCATATAGTAAGAGCAGATGGGTGTGCATTTAGGCCAATTTTATTTTCATATATACATAATTTACAGATTACAGAAAACCTATATTCAACTTCTCCTTTTAGCAGATGTAGGTGAAAATTGGACAGAATGAATTGATATGTGATGTGCATTGGATTGGATGCAAGCCAATCAAATGAACTTCACTGTAGTCAAGCTGGAAATACTGGTATTCAGTTGGCAGAAAAATGAGTGCATGGTGCATTATCGCATTTTCAAATATTTCTCTTTAAACTTCTACTATACTGTCCATGTACCATTATTTAAAATCTTTTTAGTTGTTTTTCCTGTTTTAGCCCACAAGATCATAGCCACACAAAATGCATTTGACAATAGGTAGGCTGATTGTAAGGCTTTTCATTCCTTAATAATATGTATCTAAACTGAACTCTAATTATAGCTGAAAAGCATAATACATGTACATATAATAAATAAAAATATTCCATGCACTAAATTGCATAAACATGTGTTACCATAAAATACCATTCTATGGTATTTGTTTACGTAAAGAACTAGTTATGTAGTCTTTACATATTTGTGAATGTGAATTCTTTAGAAATATGGGATATGATAGATATAATTAGAATTATTAATATATATTAATACAATAAATAATTAAGAGCCATGGTGGCGCAATGGTTAGAATGGAGTATTGCAGGCTAATTCTGCTGACTGATTGCCAGCAGTTTGGCAATTCAAATCTCACCGGCTCAAAGTTGACTCAGCCTTCCATCCGTCCGAAGTCGGTAAAGTGAGGACCCAGATTGTTGGGGAAAATATACTGACTCTGTAAACTGCTTAGAGAGGGCTGTAAAAGACTATGAAGCAGTATGTAAGTCTAAGTGCTATTGCTATTATTATAATCAGAATCAAAATATAAAACATGGATTGAAAACATATCTCAATAAAGTGATAGAATACATGTAATAAGAGAGCCAAAGTTCAACCATGCATATTTTCAAGTAAGAATCTGACAGAAATTTGTTCCCTTAGTGTGTTCTTATTTCATCACTAACAACTCACTGTGGCTCTTGATTACATGCCAAAATGTACAGTAATAAAAATACTATATATAAAAACTATATCCCCAGATATATATAAAAACTATATCCCCAGATATAGTTACTCAACTCTGAGCTAGATGGGACCAATGGTTGTTCCTCATAATTGTATTCTTGTAAATTATTTTCTTCTAGTTCGGAGGAAATAAATCCTAATCTCATACTTAGGGAGTGGTACTGTCCTCATAGTTTTAATGTGAAAAAGTTAAAGAAAGCATTTGAAGGAGTTCCCTAAAGGATTCATGTGTCCTGCTATCAAACATCAGGGGCCTCAAGAAAAATATTCACTAGTCATGTTTTTTAACAAGGAATGAAACTGGGGAGAAGATGGCTTAGTGGCAGATGGCTAAGTGTCCATCTGTCAAACTTTAGTCTGCCTTTGTGGAAAATTTTACACAAGTTTATTCACTTTTTTTTTTAACTTTTTGTGTGTCTCTCTAGCAGCTCAAATCAAAAGGGACTTGTAATGACCAGAGGGAAAGGATGTACCTGCTACAGCCTAAGTGGTCAGTGTGTGAACTGGGTAGATCCTATCTCCAACTGTATCATCTCCAAAATCATGAATGAAGTGCAGTGTTGCACACTATTTGTACAGCAAGACTTGTGAAGAGAAGAAACCCCCCCCCTGTTTTAGATCTAGAACTAAATATAAATTTGGCTGCCTTCAGAGAAGACTGGGTGTCTGTGCAATTATCTTTAACAACAGTAAGACCACTTTGTGTTGCTGTTGGTGGGACATGAAGAGTTTTATTTTAAGGAGGAATCTTCTAATATTGTTGAATGAAGCATTAAATAGCAGGCAGTCAAAATAGTAATCTATGCAACTTAGAGAGATATGTAATTTCTGTGAAAACATCTCATAAGATTTCCTGGTCTATTGAAATGGTGCATAAGGCTGTTGCCCACAAATTATTAATTAATTTATGCTATCATATTTACAGCTGCATAAAAATTTGAAGCACGAAAGTATACTTGGAAGGAGAAGGTATTTGGTTTGAAGTGTTTCCTGGCAGTCTTTGACTCAACAAGCACAACTGAGCCCAAAATTTCTGATGCCAAGTAAGGCAGCCGTTAAGTGAATTTTTCCCCATTAATGACCTTTTTTGTCACAGTTGTTAAATGAATCATTGCGGTTGTTATGTTAGTCACATGGTTCTAAAGTGAATCTGACTTCCCCAAAGACTTTGCTTGGCAGAAGGTTGCAAAAAGTGATCACTTAACACCGGGACACTGCAACTGTCATAAATATGAACCTGTTGAATCTTGATCATGTGACCATGGAAATGCTGCAATGGTCGTAAGTCACTTTTTTCAATGCCACTGTAACTTTGAATGATCACTAAAAGAACTGTTGTAAGTCGAGGACCACCTGTGTATCTTCAACACACTTCTCACTGCTCAAAAGTATTCAAGCAAACTAATGTTCGCTTTTTAAAGATTTGTATTTTATTAATTACAGATAGTCCTCAACTTATGAGCACAATTGAGCCCAAAATTTCCATTGTTACTTGAGATATTTGTTAAGTGAGTTTTGCCCCATTTAACAATCTTTCTTGCCTCAGTTGTTAAGTGAATCACCGTAACTGAAAAGTTAGTAACCTGGTTGTTAAGTGAATCTGGTTTTTCCATTCAGTTTGTCAGAAGATTGCAAAATGGGATCACTTGACCCTGGAACACTGCGACCATCATAAATATGAACCAGTTGCCAAGCATCTGAATTTTGATCACGATCATGGGGATGCAGCAAAGAGCATAACTAAAAAATGGTCCTAAGTCACTTTTTTCAGTGCAGCTGTAACTTTGAACGGCTATTAAATGAACTGTTGTAAGTCAGGAACTACCTGTACATTACAATAGTTTGTTTTTTGAGAAAAGCCTTGTAATTTAATTAATAGCAGAACTTAGCAATACATTTAAACACATTTTCTGAGTATCACTTAACTTAAATTTGAACAGTTTGTTTGCAAAGATAACTTGAGTATTTATTTCCAAGAGATTGTAGCAGTATTTATTGAGTATTTTCACCTACATTCAGAAAAGATTTCTGTCCTTTACACTGCTGGCACTATGTGCTTCCTATCCTGCTTCTCTCTTGCACAGAGACACACTTAAATAATTCGTATTGAGTGACAATGCATTTCAAGCCTGAGGTCATTACTAATTTTATTGAATGTCTTCTATTCTCTTAAGGCACTTGTCACATCATAAAATGACTGCAAGTATATTTAATAAAGGAAAAATGTTTGGGAGGGGGAGAAGAGGCAGCAATATTGAAAGATAAACCTTTGTGAAGATGCTCTCCTTACCTGATTTCTCAACCAGCTCTCTGACATCTTTCTTTTCCAGAAGCCCTGAGTACCCAAGTCCCCTGCATTCCAAAATGGTCTTCAGCTTTTTAAAACTCAGAGCCACTGGGTCGACCAACTGAGTGGCAAAGAAGCCAGTTTCATACCACACAATGGCTTCAAAAAACCTGGCCAGAATAAACAAGACCAAAAAATAAAGAAGCAAGAAAAACAGTTTCAGCCACATCTTTCTTGTGTGTGGATTTTCGACTCTCAGAAGAGAGTCCCTCAGTCCTACAAGAGAGAGAAAAAGAGGAATGTCCTGATGGAGAAAGCAAAGGGAGCCAGGCATTCTGAATACTTAGGGTCTTGTCCCTAATGTCAGGATCTTTCCCTTTTTCTCCCCATTTGGAACAGAATCTGAACCAGTTGGATGGATAGTGAGTAGAAGACCTTGTCTGGAGGTACCTGGGAGGAAACACTGGCACTGGTTTAAGGCAGCCAAGGAGTCACCTCTCTTTTCAGACCAGCTGATGATAAGGCAGAAATACAAACGGGTGGTGGTGGTGGTGGTGGTGGTGGTGCAATAGAACTTTACCGTGCGGCACCCGTAAGAGAAGGGCTGGAGCGTTTCAGGGGTGAAAAAGGATGACCGCTTAAGGGGGGAGGGAATTCTGAACGGCGGCAGCGAAGGGGGTGATTTTGCGTTAGCGATGTCAACTGGGTTATTGGGGCGGTGACTGGCGCTCGAAAGGGAAGATCCGAAAGTGGGATGAGGGGCATTCCTCGGTGGGGGTAGGGAGCAGAGCCAAGGAAAAGGGCAGCTGGACTGGGCAGGGCGAGGCACCTCGCTTATTACCCCTCCACGGGCAGACGGCGGTCCTACTTCTGCGGGGACCGCTGGCGGTGACTTGGCTGGGCTTCCGCGTGCCCCGTCGTCGTAGCCGCCTCCCCGCGGCGGAGCAGAGCCCAAGCCGGAGGAGACATAACAAGTGACGTCTGCAGTCGCGGACGGCCGCAAAGGGAGGGGGAAGGGGAGGGATGTGGATCCAGAAAGCCGGAAAGGAAGAAGAGATCTAACCCAGTCAAGCAGTTCTTCCTTCCTGGGCGACCAACTACGGCGCTCACCCCAGTGACTAACCTGGGCGTTGCTCCTCACGGGTTTGTTTACCTAGAAAACCTGCCGGTCGGTCACGTTAAAATGCCTTATCTTCGTGCGTTTAGCGCAGGCCACGGAGTTGGCCGCTTGCCTTTTAATCTTCCCGCGGCGATTGCTACAGACAAGCGATTGTCTCCTTTCCGCCCACTTTTTGTACCTGGTAGAGAAAACAGCGGGAGCAAAAAGAACCGATGGAGTAGTCCACCCACTCATTTGGTTCTCCCGACTCGAAAGTCGCTTTAGTCGGAAGTGATACTCTACTAAATGCGTTTACATTCCGAACTCTAGTTCATTCCCAAACGGAAGTCTGCAAGGCAATTTTGAGGCTGTTAATTAACATTAAAATCATGTTTCCTAAGAAGAAAAAACAAATCTATGTATTATATCGATCTCTTCCCCCCTCCAGAAATATTCTTGTAAGTCAATTATGCTGAATAACATAAGATTATAATATAACAGTGTCTAAAACAGAATATAACAAAGTATCCAGTATTCAAATTCTATACTGCAACCACATTGAACTATTTTAAACATAGCATTAATCATTGATTTATTAAATAAATCATAATTGAATCACACTTTTCTAAATCGGCTACAAGATATACATTGCATACACATTTCAATGACTGCACATTTCACAATAATCCACAATCACATAAAGCCATATCACAGTTTAGCAGTGTTGACAGTCATACTCTGACATTTTCCCAGCATATCTCCATGACATCAAATATAGGAAATTGTAATTTTAACACAATTAAGAACATGTATAGGTTTCTACTTGTGGAATGAATACAAGATGAGGATAACACCACAGACATAGCAAAACAAAAAACAAAAAAAAACCCACATACTGCCAGGGCAGAATTATGCTCTGACCAACTGTAAATAGGGAAAGGCCTTAATTCATTGGTAAGTGCCATGTTTAAACTAGTTCAATATTTTATTGAGACGTTACTTCAGAGCAGCTTCAAGATACATAAAATTGGTTAGGTATTGTCACCTATTACTCCAAAGAAAAGCCAGGTGATAAGCAATTGAACTGGTGATGGTATTAAATGAATAGTACTTATAACTGGTTCTCAGAGTTCTGACCATTGCAACATCCCTGTAGTCAAATTTGGACAATCAGCAACTAGCCTAGGTTTCCAATTATTGAAACATCTGTGGTCATGTAACTGATTCAAAATTTTCTCTGCTAGCTTCCTACAAAGTCAGTGATATGTGAGGTCCTTATTTAACAATACACACCATTAACTATATATAGACTGCTGAGTAGATATTTGGATAAGATTGTACTATAAAGTTGCAATTCTATGGATTACCTTATGCTGAAGTAAACAAGACCTTAGAAAAATAAGTTTTAGAATTGCAGTTCTAAACTAGTAGCTGTTGTGGTTCGACAGCTGCCTGTGCAGACAGCAGCAGAATCAGACAGTGGGGAAGAATGGGGATCAGTCCGGGAGTCTGGAGAAGACTCAAAGGAGGATCCTGCGTCTGATGCAGAGATGAGGCCAAGACCATCTGGGAGTGTGGTGCTGTCTCCGGAGCCTCTGGAGTCTGGCAGCAGCGAGGCCAAGGAACAAGAGGGGCCTGTTCCCAATGCACGTGTGTGCAGAGCTGCTAGAAGGCAAGAGCAGTTGAGACAAAAGGGGTGACTTGGGAGTAAGGCTTGGAGATGATTGCCCCTCCCATAAGGTATAAAGGACAGGCAAAGGTGAAGAAACCTTTGTAGGAAGCAAAGTCGTTCATTTTGTTCAGATTAATCCTTGAAGCTGTGTAGACTTTGTACTTCGGTTGGTTTTTATAATTCATTTGACACTAGTTCTTGGCAGCAATTCAAAGAAAAAAAAGGTGTGCTTATCTAGAATGGACTGTTTGAGACTCGTTACCGGCTGGGAATGAACGTAATTCCCAGCATTGAAATAAAACAGTTGTTTTAACTAGGCGTGTGCTTAATTATGATCTTGGGAAGCCTTGGTCAGAACAGTAGCAACCTAGTAAGACATAATAAGCTTTATATAAAAAAGGCAGGATACAAATAAATATATCCGCTTGCCTTCAGAAATTGTGGGTGATTCATCACTGGAGATTTTTAAGAAACTGAATAGTCACTTGTCTGAAATGGTATAGGGTCTCCTGGTTGAGCAGAGGACTGAACTAGAAGCCCTTCAAGCTCCCTTCAAGCTCTGTTCTGATTGATTGATCATTGCATAATACATGCACAATCACTTTAACTTTGCAGAAATAGTGTGCTCCCAGTTCAATTGATTAAACAATATTATATATATGTGGAGTCCCTTTTCTGAAGTAGTGCTTGCCTTCCAAGATCTGGATGGTTCTCTTTGCTATTATTCAGAAAGGCAATGAAAACCTGGCTCTTCACCCAAGGCTACAATGGAGTGTAACCCATACTTTCTCTGCTTTGATGTGCCTACTTGCTATTTTCGCTCATTTTATAGTAATTTGATTGTTGTGAACCATCTGGTATTGTTGGGAGTTGAGCAGCATACAAATTTAATAAATCATAACACTACAGACCAAGGTCACATATTGCAGTAAAGCACACTGCAATTTGACCAGTAATATCTATGAACTCGGCCATTAGGGTTTGTAAATCTTGGTTTACAACTCAGCATGTAAACCTGGCTAGCTGGGAGTTAAGACACACGGTTTAAAAAAAATTTTTATCTCAATGAGCACTTATCTGATCTGAGGGGTCCCTACGTAAGACTGTTGTATTTTCTCATTTTGTAAAACTGCAGCATATGGCCTGCACTAAAGCATGGGCAAAGAAAAATAAATTTTTACCAAGGTAAAGTAGCAGCCATTACAAGCACTAACGCTTGACGGAAAAAGCAAAGATAACGTAACTAAATACGGTTAAGAAACGTGCAACAACGAGGATGAGAAGCACATTATTTCCTGAATCCACGCTATGGGTCGATTATTTATTACTGGTTTTTTTTAAAGGGGGGACAGGTTCCCAACAATAGCTCAGTTCGACGAATCCACTATTTGAAGGTTCCATATACTCAGCTCGGGAAAACAAACATAGTCCCACCGTGTAGCCTGGAGATAATAATCAGCTCGCGACGGAAGTTTAAACTATGAGAGAAAGACCTAAAAAAAATGGCTTCCGTTTTCGCAGGGATTTGTTAGCGGCATCTCGGAAACGGATCCAACTCCCGTTAAAGAGCCCTACTGAGGAAAAACCCCTTTCTTGAAGAAACCCTTCGCAAATAGGCCGTCAGAACCGCCAGATTCTGTAGAAACAGCCGCTTCTTCAGGAGTCTCGGAGAGCCCTTTAGGCGCTCTCAAATCCTGCTTGAGCGAGATCAGGCTTAGCTGACTAAGCTGCTGCCTGACTTGAATGCGGAACACTGACGTGAAAAATAGACTAGGCATGCTAGATAGACACAAGACCGTCACTTAATTTGAAATTAAATTTTAAAAAATGTAATTTAAAAAATCCCAAATACACTTTTGGTGGGAAACCCCCCACTCGGTTATTTTATTGGTACTAGGACTAGTTTGACTTTGTTAGTCGCTGTTATTTATTTACAGACCGGCAGCATTTCCAAGTATTTCATGAGCAAGATGACTTAGGGGGTGAGCGGGAGGCAATGAATATCTAAAAGTCCCGCAACGGTCGTGTTAGAGCTTCTTCAAGGGTGTTGGAAGAATTGTTCGGAGCGTTTCCTATTTTTAATCGTAAACTCCCAGGTTCCCCTTGAAGGACCTACAGGCTGTTTATATAGCTGCCTGTGACGCATCTCCAGTATTTAGCTGGTGGACCTCAGCTGTCTTCCGTGCTGCCTGCAAAAACAACAGCTCGCCAACTGGTTCGCTTTGCTCCTTCGTTCTCTTTCCGCGGAGGTCCTCCGTGGAGTGTCCTCTGGCCGAGCCGTACAGTCTTGCTTGGTCGGCGGGAGGACGAGCGGGCGACGGAGGGGAAGACAATGGACCAATGCGTGACGGTGGAGCGCGAGCTAGAGAAGGTGCTTCAGAAGTTCTCCGGCTACGGGCAGCTGTGCGAGCGGAGTTTAGAAGAGCTGATCCAGTACGTGGCAGGGCTGCGTCGAGAGATCCTCCAGAGCGAAAGTATGTGCTGCTGCTGCTCCCCTTTTCTCTTTAGAACAAGCGTTCCGAAGTGCTTTTCCTCCTGAGAGTTGTGCGGGTAGAAATTCGGCCGGTGAAGCTTGCCTTAAAAAGTCGGCTGTTTCCACAAACCGCACACCAGCGTTATCCACCAGAATTGCCATTGAGCCTGTGCTCAGCAGGGGATTGTAACTAATCGCAGCTTTTTAATAAACGTGTCTATATTATGTATAAAGTGTTCATAAGACATTGGGGTGGGGGTAGTAGTTATTAGAAGTACTCTTTGAAAAAGCTTGCGGACAAAAGAGAAACCCTTATCACAAATGTTTCATAATTTTTCTTTATGGGGACTGCTGTTACAGAAATAGGATCAGGGCTTATTAGGCAAGATGGCAAATCCCTATACAAGTCCTATTCTGGCTGTTTTGTTTTGTCCCAGTCGTCTTGTATGGATTACTGTGTTTCCTCATCTTCTCAAGCTTTATGAATGTGTCATCTCTTCCTTTAAATTTGCTTTTAGTCATGTGATCTGTGCTTTCAGTGTAACAATTCTGCCCATTTGTTTTTCATTTAGTTTGATCAGGTTCATTCTCAGAATATTCTGTATATACAGATAAACCCTCTTTTGCTTTAAACTATATTTCCTTATAGTTGGCTATAATTTTGTACAGGATACCACTTTCAAGTCCACTTCAGTTTGCCCCTCCCAATGTTGGTTCTTTACTTTTCCATTAGTTAGAACTATCTGAAAT